ACACAGATATATCAAATCTTCACCAGAGCCCCGTTTGGATACCGGCGGTCGGTCGGACAGCAGAAAGCCTGCCGGCCTCCGGGCCGAAAGTGAGCTGGCTGCCAAGCGGCAGCAAAAGCGAAATGTTGCGCTTGGTTAAACGCTGCTGTATCTGGAGCAGGTTCTCATGTGCTTGTGAATGTCCTCCCTGCGCCTTTAATGGGAAATGGTAATCCCTGCTGACACGGAGCGTCCAACTTCTCTTAGACAGATTCTGGTTACTCATAATACCACCTACTCCGGGCCGAAAGTGAGCTGGCTGCCAAGCGGCAGCAAAAGCGAAATGTTGCGCTTGGTTAAACGCTGCTGTATCTGGAGCAGGTTCTCATGTGCTTGTGAATGTCCTCCCTGCGCCTTTAATGGGAAATGGTAATCCCTGCTGACACGGAGCGTCCAACTTCTCTTAGACAGATTCTGGTTACTCATAATACCACCTACGCATTTCCTTCTATAGCTATTTGATTTACCTCTTCTCAATTATTTCAAACACAAACATCTAGGGCACAGCTGCTCAAAGTTTACCTGGACCTGCGGAGTAACTTACTGTGGCCACTCCGCAAGAAGCAGTGTTTTGGCTCTCTCTCTGCCCTGGTAACTGTGGCTGAGAGGACTCGCCGGCTGCTGCAGACATCCCTCAAGAGACGGGGAGAACTGTAAAATGCTCTACATACGTGTGTATCAATGTCACACTTACACATATAACAGCAAACACATATGCACGTACATACAAACTGACGGAAGGAAAGCGTGTTCACGTGCTGGCAAGGTCAGAGCAGACTTTATTCATACGTTGGATCTGGATCAGACTCCGATATCTAAGCAGCCTTGATCTAGATTAAGAAATAAAACCTGCATCTAAATATATGCAGCAAGTATGCAGATTTAGCTGATAGCAGAAGTGTTATAATGCCTTTGCCTTTGCAAACTCTATTTATGCAACCGCAGACAGTTATTTCAGAATTCTGACAACTCTCTTCTGTAAACACATTCTATTCTTTCTTCCAGTATAATTTCCTGCAAGATTTTCCCCTCATTTGCTCCAATATGCAGATTGTTTTCAATGTATATAGATCCTGCCAATTTGTCTCTCATGTCCTCCAGTTTGCCTCCTGTTTTCCTCCAGCCTCCTTTTGTTTCTGTATTTTCTGGTGAATACGATGCATATCCTTTCTCCCTGAAAAGAAAATTAATTCATTATCACATCTGCTATTGCTGTTGCTCCTCTTGCCATTACGGCAGTGGCAGATGTGGCAGCAGGAAGTAGCTTTGGTGTATGAGAGGCACATTAATTTTAGATACCTTGTGGGGGAGAAAAATGGTATAGCCTTCTCTCCCTGTCTTGCTTTCTGTTTTGTTTCCTTCCCAGCCTCTTATGCAGTAATTTTTCTCTGTCCACACCACAAACAGAATGCCTCAGGCCTAAGTTTCAAGTCTCCAACGTTACCTCACCAATTCCTCCTCCTCATAACATTTGGATGTAGAGAATTTATGAAGGAATTACCACAAGACTTTCCCAGATGCAGGAGAAATCATTATTTTTTCCCATTTTTTAAAAATAGTGTGAAGGATACTTCAGAAATAAGGAATAAGAGAGTCAATAACCATTCTTTTTACATAGGTAAGCTTACACTGAAGGGAACTTCAGGGGAAGCGGTGAAAAACTCACCTTGGTACAAGGTCATAATATTCCTAAATTCTCAAAATCTTTGAACTAGCTTTTCATAATTTTGTATTTTAGTATACAGCTCAATTTCCAATAGTGTTATATCAATGCACTTTTCCTGGTTCACACAGGAGAGCTGGGACTCCTCCAGAGACGTACCACGCTTGGGTGGTTAGGTCTTCTGACTGGGAACGAAGGAGAAATTTTCATTCCTTGGTCTGCCATTGGCCTGCTCCCAAGAAGACAAACTCTAGATTTTGAAAATCAAACCCTTTCTTCACCACAGATTGATATTCAGACTCTTAAATGAAACTGCCTGGCTAGCCCTCAAAGAAATGAAGAAAACAAGCCATTCTTAATTACAGTATTGGGCTAGGCAAAGTTTGGAGAGCATCTCTCCTGTTCATGTCAGAAAAGGAAAATACTGTTTCTTTTACAGAGAAAAAAGTCTCTACATTTTACTAAAGAGGGTCACTTTTTCCTTCCCTCTACCCAGAAAAAGTAAACCTCAGAGCACAATGGCAAAGACTTCTTATCGCCTATTTTATCAGATATTCTTAAATGGGAAAAGGAAAAACAAACTGAAACAAAAACCTCCAGCCAAGCAACTAAAAAAACCCCAGCCTCCATCCATTTCTGCCCAGTACAAAGACATTAAGTAATTTTAAAACCTTCTTACTTATCTGACTAAGCCCCTGGAAATCAATGATAAGGGAGTCTCTTCCTCGGATTCTCTATACCCTATACAGATGAATAACTGTATGTATGACACAGGGGAACAGCATACGTTAGCAGGACTAGAGACTCAAGGAGTGTAACTAAAACTAACGAACATCCGGAAAGTTAGTGCTCATGATAATATTCTCCAGCCTTTGAAACGTTAAGAAAAATCATAGAAAACCCTGACTCTAAAAGTCAAACCCAAATTACAAATAGATGGCTTCCGATTTTGGTCCTTCAGAACAAATACCAAAGAGCTAAAGAGACATCTTCTGGTTTCTATTGATTTAATATTAAGGTATGTCAACATACTCAAAATACAGTTACATTTTGTTTAAAGTACTTAAGGTACACAACCATTCCATATTTAGTCACTTTAATGTAACTGCTTTTGCCTACGTGAAAAATACTAGTTTTACAACATGGAAATAAAAGTGTTGAAACTTCTTTTAAATTAGGTAAAAAGGCAAAGAACTAATATCTCCATTTAAATAGGTCTACACATAAATAAAAAAATAATCTTTAGGTAAGCATGCTCCATGAAATCTAAAATTGCAGAGGTTAGCATTTTTTCTGAAGTGTGTGCGACTCTTAAGGACAGCATAACCTGTCTCTGCTCTAAAATACAAAAATTATGCTACAGATGATAGCTCACTAGACCTTAAAATATGAAATGCTGAACATTCTTGGAAAGAAACAAGATTTCAAAATGAACTAATGTTTCTGATAAAGATAGCTTAGCAGACTTAACTGATAGTGTTAGATAATTAACACACACAAGCCCTTGAGTGAGCAGAACACATTATGGCTTCCAATAAACTGCATGAGTTTTTAGAAACATGTTTGAGTTATGTATCTGCATTAGATGAAAGGACTGCGTAGACCATTAAATGCAAACATTTGTTCTTACACAGCCTAATATCTCTAACAAAAGATAAAAGCAGTATTATCCAACTATGCTGTGAAATTGTATATAACTTCTTTATGGATCTTTTTTTTTAAAATAAACCTCAATGAAAAGGCTTGCTCTTTGGTTAAACAAAAATGTTTAAAAATAATTTAATCTCCAAAACTGGATTCTAAGAAAAGTTTTAAGGAACTTTAATAAAAACCTGAACAATGTAAATCTTGTGTGGAATATCTATTTTTAGCTATCTTTTATTAACAGAATAATTAACCATTCATTATATAAACATATATGTTAAAACTAAACATAATAATGAACACCTTGCTAACCAATACTGAAGCAGCATATCTGCACAAGTTTAGTTACTTTGCAGTTCTGAGGGGACATACAAATGAAGGAGAGCTCTGCTTAGTTCACCATGGTTTGACAAGACTTTCAGTCACTTTTTCAGGAAAAAGTTTTTCTGAAAAATTGAGATTTTTTTTATTAGCTTATCTGAATATTACATGATTTTAGAGAGTATTGAACATTGGGCCTACAGTTGCTGTAATGTCAGAAAAAGGAGCACTTTGAGTAAGCTCAATAACCAACTGTTTCTTTAGAACAAGAAAGATATAAAACTTGGCTGCAACTTCTTTCCGGTTATTTTTCTGACAGAGCTCCAATAAACTGAAAGAATCCACTCCTGATTTGTTCATGTGCTGTATAAGGGAAAAAAAAGAAAAGCAGTTAGGTCAGCTTAACTGCCAATAAAACCAGATCCCATCAAGTTTGAACTGAAGAATACTTCTGCTCAGAGTGCATATTTTCCAGTTGAAGGCCTTGAATAGTATCTTATCGTGGCATTTACATTTATATAGTGGCTCTTAACATTTTATTGCCATAATATTGCTACCACCTACATATGTTACAAAAATTTACATGCCTGCAATTCCACTAAATTCAGTGAAACTGTACACTCTAGAGACTACTCACAGCGGGAATAAAGCAAGGGCTTATAATTACAGAAAACACTGCTGATAACATAAAAGTTCAGAAAAATTCTAGAAATTCCAGCAGCTGAGAGAGAGTAGGGCGCTCAGAATTCTGATTTCCTATATAAATTGCCTATATAAACACCCAATGAAAGGCAATTATACACAACATTTGAAAAGTAGCAATATGGTAAACTGTATGAATAAGTAGAAGATTTTCTGACATAGTCCAACCAAAATCAATACCTATTTTTGGCATCTAATTACAATATCCAACATTGATACCTGTAAAGCTTTTAATAACTGAAGAGTTCTTTTGCTCCACCTTTTTTCTTCACTGTCTTTATTGTTCCTTGTTAGTTCCTTGATAGGAAATATAACAGAATGTTAGATAGCATGTGTAAAAAGTCATACACAAAGATGATAAAAAAGGACAACTGTTCTAGCTTAATTGAAAATCTAACTGGAGCTAGACATGTTGATGGCTATATATAGGGTATCTGGGACTTTTGACACCCCTACACTTTATAACAGGCTTTGTGGAACTGAGTGTTAACTAGGCTCTTCCCTCTGCAAAAAGAGAGACACATCAAATGTAACGACACGTTGCACACTATGAAAATGGTCCCACTGAGCCTTATGAAGGCAGCTTCACAGAAAGACACTAGTGTGTGTGATTAGGGTTACCACAGTATTAGAACTAGTCAGGAGCCAAAATGGGTGTTCAAAATTTCAGCTGCAGATTTTAGATTTAACCTAGGAAATTGACAGGACAAGGCTACATTTGGTTCAAAGTTTTTAAGTTTTCTCATAACCACTATGTTCAGAAACTGTTCCTTTTTTATGTGGAAGCACAGTCTCTAAATAGGGAGCTGTTTTCCTCACAGACTCTGCAACCTTTGAATAGTGGAATATATGCATCCCTGACTACCCAAGGTATTAATGCTTTTGATTGGCAAAACATATATTAAAGATCACATTAATACATTGAAATTCACAATAAGTTCATGAAGTTGTCAGTTTCGTATTTTTAGATATTTCTGTGAAAGAATGCCCTTCTGCTGCGAAGTTAAGTTGCCAGCTTCTAGTACACATACATTCATTAACTCAGCTTGCTTTATTTCAGCTTGTTCCAGTGAAGCATTCGCCAATGAAGAGCTCTCGGACAAAGCAGTTCCATCCTGCTATTAGAATAGGAAGGATGACAATTGGCATTAGCAGTCATGCATACAATCTGATTCCCAGTTATACAATGCTGCTCTAAAGATTATTATAATAAATGTTTTCCAAAATGATTTAAGAGTTGATATCTCTATCATATCTTTTCTCATATAAGAAGAGTCTTTGCTGTAACATTTTTCCTATAGCTGGATCTAGACATATGGGTTCAATTCAGACACAGACCCTACATTTTCTGTTACTGTTAGGTCCAATCTTGTCATTCTTTTTCAACCTTAAAGAATCTTGTATTCACTAAAGAATCCCCTTTTGAGATAACCTAAATAAAGATGGCAGAAATAGATAATTAGTTATTAGTTATTTCCTCAATTTGAGACAAAAAAGAAAAACCCTGTCCTTTATAAAGATGATAATATTTATCTTTGCAGTACAAACAGGCTATATTTTATATTAAGGTTCCATTTAGAATTAGTTTATAAGATGTTAATAGGTGATTAACAGACATTTTAATTAATAATTTGTTGTGAGAGTCTCCCAAGGTGCTTTATATGCAAAACTTTCATGACACCAGCTACTTAATGCTATATCAGCCATCTCTGCAACATGCTTTTCAAATATATATTAATAATGTCCTGGCTTGTTATATATGGGACCTTAACATAAAATGAAACTAATAAATACATTTAGTTCTCTAAAATTTATGGAAACTGCTCACTATAGTTTCACCAAGATTATCATCAATTTCATTTCTGCTATTCTGTGATGTCAACATAAATGAATCATTTCTAATTTTTTTCTCAGTCTCTGAATGAGCTGACTCCTGCAGGTAACTTGGCTCTTCTATTATCGGCATCTCTGTATTAACAAAAAAAACAAGGTTTGAGAGGAAATTATGGTTAATCTCTGTCCTTAAAAAAGCTTTGAAAAACAAAATCACACCCAGTCTAGCAATCTTTGAGAAAAAAACTCAAGATGGGTGCCAAGTAGAATAAATATCATTCCCAATAGGACTATGGTAAGAGAACCTTTCAAGAGAGCTTTTCCTGGAAGCATCTAAAAGTTGACCTTTACAGACTTGTAGGAGGTGGTTTCACTGAATAACTTGCAGATTATTTTCCTAGCTGAATAAAAGAGTGGAACTGGATACATCACCTTAGCAGAACATCTAAAATGGAACATTTCTTCTTGTTTGATATTAACCAAGACATGATCTTCAAGGTAGTAATAGAAATTATCTCCTGAATTTGGAAAATGGTTTGAATAAATTCAGAATAAATGGGAAGCCTGTTTTTTAACAAACCTCCAGTTTGGGAGTCAACCGGAGAAACAAAAGAAAAATCCCCAAATACCTCCTTATGCCACAAGGAAGAAAATGTAAGGAGCAAAAGAACAGTGAAGTACTTATAAAACCCCATTCTATTTTTCTTTTTATATTTAATGTAGCCAATTTTCTTAACATTTAAATCTTTTTGGCCTCGATTTGTAGACTGCTGTACACACTGTGTGTGTGTCTGAAACATTATATAAAATAGAGTTAAAATGCTTCCCAGTGGCTAATTCTGCAGAGATAGAATTAAAATGTCACCTTTTGTATCTTGCCCTTTTCTTGTCTCTTCCATTTCAGATTCCATCGGTATTCCATTTCTTCCTGTCTTAAATCCGTGATACTTGAAGCAGTTTGCAAACAACTGAAAAGAATCATTTATTGTTTTTATTTTATCATTTATTATTTTTCTCAGAATATACTTTTAGACTACTGACAAGCATTAAAACAAAGGAATGAACATAAGCTGTATATTGATTACTGCAATCTAGAATTTAGAGATTTGGATTAGGTCTTTCAGAAAATCTGCAATTTTATGACGTAATAGCCTTCTGCAGCTTGGTAGTGAAGTCAATGAAGAAATGTCTTAGTCACACCTTGGATCATTTTTCCTCTAAGATAACCAATAAGGAGGGATGAAAGAGAAAAAAATCTGCAGTTATCTGTGTTTGAATTTCTCTCAGCATCTGCTGTTGTGTTCATCCTCATAAAAAAGAAGTTGTAGTTCTGCACCTCAACTCTGAGAAGTGAAGGTGTACTGTTCTAATGAATATGCAGGACTGTTTGTGTGGACACTCTGCCTCCTAGATCTCTCAAAGAAGTTATACAACCAAAGAAACACAATGCAGTTAACGTTAAGACTGCTGTAAAATAGTTTACTCCATTTCTTTTTTTATCACCTTGTACACATGTCTATCTCTTCTTTCTTTATCTCATCATGAGCTCTAAACTTATAGCTTCTTTGAATGATCTGTCAAATAATAGGTATGGACATAAGAGGCTTTGATAGATCATATTCCTGTGAAACAAATGCATCTTTTCTGCGCAGAAGAATAGTAAGGACCACGCTGTAAAAAAAAAAAAGGGTGCTCTGGCCCATGCTTCCAGCCAAAATGATAGAGTGATAAGGAGCATCTTGGCTCTCTGAAAAGCAAAGTGCCTTGACTTCTGCTGAGCTGGAATTTAATCTTCCACTAGGAAAGTAAAAAATAGTTTGGCAAATCATCTTTCCAAAGTCACTAATCATACAATAATAATGTTTAAGCCTTACGTAACTTTAACATAAATGTGAAAGAACGTAACTTTAAAGTAAATGCAAAAGAAAAATATGGTTCAATATTGATTACAGAGCAGAAACAAAAAAAAAAAGGAAGTAGGAAAGAAATTGACGAAATCAGAAAAGTTGTGTATTACTGTACAACCAGTCAGGTGCCAATATGTGAAATGAAACATGTGTTCTCAAGTTTCTGTGTCACTTTTTACTCATTCTTGCAGTGCTGGAGAGTGGAACGCCGGAGATTAAAGGCCTGAGCTCTACATAAGGCCTTTTTGCTGAAGCAATTAATTATGAATACACTTGCAATCATCAGATATCCACTGAGTTGTAATGCAGAACAAGTCTTTTAATGATGCTTTGCACCTGCAGTTTGCTAGGAATTCACATGAAAGTAACTCTGCAAAAATCTCTCATAATTAGTTCCTAAATGTGCAATAGTCACAAAATTTATACAGTGGCATAAAAGCCTACAAGGAATAAATCTTTACCATTTGTAGCTCAGCATGAACCAAAGGTTGTGCAGTGTGGGACAGAAGTTTATCCACTCCGCCTGATTTCTTCCACATCATTGTTTTTTTTGTTGGCGGCGCAAGGTCTAACGTAGCAAGAGTGTCCATGCAGTTGTTAAGTTGGTTGTATATAGCATTGTAGCTGAGCTCCTTGTCTGCATCCACAAGCAATTTCCTCTTTCTTTTATTTTTTTTCCTCTGGGTGATAGCTAAGTAGAGCAAGTATTTTAAAAATGGTATTGACCTCCCTCACTGATAGATATCTCTCTATAATGTAATTCAGCACTGGAGGCACTACATAGCTGCAAAAGTTATCTCTGAAGAAACTTACTTAATTCTCCCTTTTCCCCATATATTTACTGTTTGGCATTTCAATATCAAAAACTCAACAGGAGTTGTTCATCCCTCCTAGTTCCAGTCTGGGCATTCTTTTCAATAGCTCTTACGGTATGAATATGCACAAATGAGATCCAAGGCAATGAAAACTTAAGCATGAAAAAAAGCACTGTGAAATGAATGGACAGACTGCTCACCTCCTGAAAGACAGCACAAACTTGAAAATTAAAGTACAACAGACCACATCAACAAAAATTTTCATCATGTCTACTCTTTCATAAATTTCTAACTAAGGAAGACGTACGAGTATTTTAGTGAAGACGCAGCAACGTGATGATTTCACAAGAATGCATGATGTACCAACAAGACGATTGAGAAAACTTTATCTTTAATCCATCAGGAAGTTAATTGTTCCAAGAATTACCGACGTACTCCACAACCTTCGTTATCTCACGATTCATATCTATATTTGTCATTTTAATCCTTTGTGTTCGACTTAGGTAGGATTCACACAGTAAATCAAAGAGAGAGACAATTTTTGATTATATTTCCATATCTTCCTGAAGATTATTTTGGCAGTCCAGAAAATGTAAGTATTCTAAGTATTAGTGTCTACCAGAATTTGTTTACGTGCTAACACCCACCAATGTGATAGATGAGGTTTAGGTATACTCGCAGAAGAAAAGAAACATTTTTCTTTTTGGATCATAAGTTAGAAACAAATTTTACAAAGGCATGAAAGTTCTAAGCTTGCTATTTTGCATATAAAAGATTGCTGATGACTAGCAATGAAAGTTCTTCAGCTAAAAGTTGAGTAACACCTGGGTTTGCACTGCTAGCGGAACTGTAGAGGAGCAAAACTTATTTTGGTACGTGGGAGAGACTGTACCTAGAGATTTGTGCAGATCAGATGAATAGCCGGATACTGTTTTTGTATAATAACTATCAGAAAACAGAACTCTGACAGCAGCAGCAGATGAAATATAAAATGAGAATATTCTGTGATGCAAATATCTTCAGTAATAAGGAATAAGAAAAGTAAGCCTAGTAATGAAAATCATTAGCAGGAAACTGATGGAGTTCTGACCTGTATCATCAACGGGCTCAAGCACAAATCCTTCTTCTTTAGATAAAAGTGCCGTTTCATTCATTAGATGATCTTTTTGAATCATGGAGTCTGCACCATTGGAATCCACTATAAGAAAACCCAGCAAATAACCCAAATAAAAAAAAAATCATAACATGAATAATATCTCAGTCTTATGACATATCAGACAAAAAAGATCACAATCAGAAAACTACGATTTAATCTATAATCTCACAATCACTTTAACCAGTATTAACTGGCATTGCTGCTGCTGTTCATGTTCTGCCCTGCACTTTTTCTCTTGCTGACACAAGAGTGTGTATGACCAGGTGGGGAAACAGACTGGAGAACTGATCTGGACCATCTGACAAAAGGTGGAAAAATGTTTAGTTTTAATATGGATCAGTTTCCAGTTCAAGGCAACTACATAGCAGTGTGAACATGCGTGTCAGCATAAAAGGAACGGGCAGTGCAAGGATGGACTAGTGCCATGAGGGATGTCACGGTTTCTCTTTAAAGCTCCAGATTACTCAATTTTAAAGCAGTAACGTAATAGTGGTATAAGGATGTACGATACCAAACAAAAAAGTTTTTATTTTCCATAAACACTTTTTGAAAATTGATTTTCCTTTCAACAACTTCTTTTATCAATACCAAATCAAAGTAAGACCAGCAACACCTTTATGAACTACTAAAGTGTCATTTGTGGCAGAAATGTGAAGTCAGAAATAGTGGTAGATAAAGTTCAAAATCACAGCATACCCTTCTTCTGTTTCATTTCCCTCTACAAAAGTGAGAGCACACTGTCTAAGCAGCAGTATGGAACAACTGCATATTTAAAATATAGTTTATCATATAAAAAGTTTCTGTCTGTGTCAAGCTACCAATCTAGAATTCCAAGGTCAGATTAAATTATACCTAAAATGGTGAGTGAAGCATATTAGAAAAAAGAAAAACAAATTAACACAGGAAAAAGGCAAGGGATCTAAATCTTATCATACAAGGCTGAATGGGAGAAACTTTATGCATTAATACAGGAACAGAGGGTTCATTTAAGTAATGAGGAACAGAGATGCTACAAACTCACCAGCTGCACTGTTCTCCGGAAGATCTTGTGACAAAGGAAGTTCTTCCTCCATATCAAGAATGTCTTTAATTAGGCTATTTTTCTCATCCCTTAATAGAATTTCTTAAAAATAAAATGCCCAGTTGTATTCCTTCTCAGTATTAGTAGTCATGAAATAACCTGATACAGCCATATGTTACTGCTTTAATAATAATTTCGTGCAAACAAAAAAGCTTAGCTTACACAAACGTGTGGCAACATTGCAACTGTCTTAGTATAAAAGGAGAACATTAGTCTTAACTTAGTTTTTTAACTTTTTCTTGAAAAGTGTGATCATTGATATTCTTTCAAAGGTGTAAGTCTGCAAGGGTTTATGTAAATATTCTGAACCATAAAAAGGTACCCTCAGTTGCCTTTGTTATTATGATAATAAGACCGAAAATGCTGTAGCATATCATCTTTGAAAATATAAATTAAGTATTAAATATAAATTGAATGTATCTTATTCTAAGCAACTGAAATGTGTTCTTTAATTCCATTGTAGCTGGGACCGTCTAAATGATCACAGATTTAGTGACAAGCAGTAAAAAACAAAGTACAAAAACAAAAAACAAATAGAAAATTTGTGTTTGAAAACAATCAATTTCATGTTTGTTTGCTTTCCTGTAAGAATAAAAATATTTGGAAAGAATCTAATTCTGTTTAGCTGTGGTAAACCCTACCAATCATATCCCCAGCAGTATCCTCATCTCCAAAACAATCGTGCTCGAAACAGTAAGTATCTTCACACAGCGCAGACTTGTCTCCACTTAGGCTTGCAGAGGTGTGACCAGCCAAGACGCTATTACTGCTCATTAAAATGCTGCCGTCAAAGAAGCTATGTTGTCTTAGTGTATCTGGTTCCTCACCTGAATAAATACAGAATTTCTGATGATTCATCTGTATGAATATATGTGAAATATATTTTTATCCATTTCCTAATTTTTCAAATCCAGTTTAAGAAATGTTGTAAGATATTGCACCCAGAAAATGGAATATTACAATAAATGATTTTAGCTAATTCAATAAAAAACACCAAATGTTGGGTTTGATTCTCATTCTCTAATATCACATTATATTACTTCAGCAGAGTACTGGACACAACAAGTTAAGCATGAGGCCATAGGATAGGCCAATCAACACAAACATGAAAGAAATGCATTTTTAATAATAGCTTTTTCACATGCGGACATGAGTCATATTGTACACAATTTTGCATAAAACATATACACTTTTCCTTATGGAATATTTCTAATTTCTCAACTTCTCTCACCAAAGTTTCTATCACAGAGAAGTATATTGCTTTCGTAATCCTCTGTAAGTGTGATGTCTTCAGCTCTGCTCTGATTCAAGGTAAAATGTTCAGCAACATCAATGGAACTAATAAAAAAAAATTACACAAAATACAATATGAACTGAAACCCATTGACCATTTAGCTGGAACGTGAAAAACTTGTTTCCAGACAGTCTTCAAACCTGATGTTTTATTGTAAAAAAAACAGAAAGACAGCTACAGTTTTCTATGGCATTGAAAGTACCCCGCCTGATCCTAACTTCTATGGAGAGAGAAGAATCGCCTCCTAAAGCTATTGGATTTCATACTATTTCAGATCTTATTCATAAAATTCAGTGCTTCAAATTTCCTCTAAAAGCTGAAAACACAGCACAAGGAAAACAGACGCTACGTGTTCATTAAAATTGATGCCTATAAGCAAGGAGGCAGCTGCCTTCTTAGCTAGCCAAAGGTCCTAAGTAAACTCCACATAAGTTGTACAGTGAAGATTGAATCTGAAAGAGTCATAATAGCATGATAGCTAGGGAGAGGTCCATGAGGGAGAGGAAGAGCATTTAGCTAAATGAACTTAGAAGTGATCTCCACACCTAGAACTTCACGAAAAATGACCCAGATGTACACTCAGAATGCAATCTCCTCAAGAAATAGTAGACATATTTATAAGGACCGAGGAAGCATTATCCATACTCCTCTCTCCATATTTCATATTTCTCCACTGTTTTGCCAGTAAACTTTTGCTTCTGTAAGTTTTTCACATTCAAGTCCTACCAGACACTTGTCACATAATATGCATCTAATTTGTATAATGCCATCATCTGTAAATCAAACCACACGGACCCTTTGGGTAGTCAAAAAAGCATGCTTCCCAAAGTTGCCACATTGAGCTACTTGAATAAATTGAAAAAATAGTATTGCTTCTCTGCTGTAGTTACAAAATCCTAAAGACTTATAGATCCCATCAAACTGTATTTATGATAAGGTACAGAGGAACTGCTGTGAAAGTCCATTATGTTGAATCTTTCAGGGGATCAGAGCCATCCGAAATGTGCTTTGACCTCCTGTTTTTATCAGTTTTTTGCATTAATGCTGATGTATGTCAGAAAAGCCAAAGAAACATGTTGGCTCTTCATTAGGATCCAAGCATACTACCTCCTATAAAACACCAGGCCTCAAAGAGCAAGTGACCGTAAGTTAAATACAGTTACACAAGCGAACAATGCAGCATTGCTAAGCTACCAACCAAGGGTTCCTTGTTCTTAAAACAGAATTTATACCACCTTTTACGTCTTCTCCTGAGGTCAGTAAGTTGCTTACAGGCTTCACTCAGACAATGTAAACTGTGAAAATCCTGAAGTCTAAGTTCAATACGTTACTTTGTTATAAAGATCTTGCGCTGATTAAATGGACTAGGAGGAGCTCTACAATGCAGAATTCTTGTCACTGTAGCCTTGTAAACCTGACTGAGAATTTAGAACAATTTAGTTATCAAACCAAAATAACTCCATCTGAATTTGGATCCAATAACAATAAAGATATCTTTGACTTCTGAAAAATCCTAAAGTAATTGACAAAATAGAGGGAAGCATTTACTTTAATTCAGGGAGTGGTGCTGCAAAATCATGAAATTCTTCAGGTAACGTAATGGACTGATAAGCAGCCTCAAAGTTCTCTTCTGGAAGGTCAACAAGTCCTAAAAGGAACACAAAACATAACAAAATAACTATCAATCGAATAAAAGTAATGTTCTCCCAAGTACATATAGTAAGACTATAAATGTCTCAAGGTCTTTGCCATTATAAATAGCAAAAGTAAGGCTGAGGTACTTTGTCAACAGGACTTCACAATGGAATTAAAAATCTTAATTTACATATACTTTGGAAGCCAGATTATTTACAGACAGATACAGAAGAGTATGCTGCTGTTGGAAACTGCTACAGGCCCTGAAATGCTGTAACTATATTGGGTTTACCAACAGCTACTTGAAGTCCATGAAAGATTCTCATAGCTGATATCTGGCCTAGAACCTTTCATGCCACTTCATTCGCATTACTGTGTTTTCTTCTTCTCTCCTGTGTCTACATAATGCTATTCTCCAGCATCAAGTAATTATGAAATGAGACTGCAAATACTTGATAATCAGAGAATCATGGTGAAATTTAGCTTAGAAAGGCTCTCTGAAGGTTATTTAGTCCAACCTTTTGCTCAAAGCAGTTAATTTCAAAGTTAGATCGCTTTTGACTGCTTCTGATAATGGAGATTTCACAACATCTCTGGACAACCTGACTCAGTGTTTTACCACTTTTACTGTGAATTGTTTCCTCTTATATCCAGTTGGAGTTTCCCTTGCTGCAGTTGTGACCATTGCCTCTTGTCTTTGTGTTGTATTTACATAAGCTAATGTAGTACCTATTAAAAATACATAGTACCATGTACTTTTCTCAAGCATTTACTCTCGAGATTTCAAAATGTTTACAAATATTACCTAAACAATCACTGTCATATTCATGAGAATGACATATAATTGGTCACAAAGAGAATTAAGATTGTCAATAGAAACTGGAGTTCTTCTGTTCTTAGCCTTCTTTCCTAACCTCTAGGAAGCAGTGCCTCCCTATTTGTTGCCCAAATTAGACAAAAATATAGCTGTCTTGAAATGGATACGGTCATCTCTATTCACCTTTTGCTGGCTATATGGCTAGAGCACAAAACACAAGTCAGGTTTGGCACTAACACATTTGAGGACATGTTGTTGGTGTCGTCAGAAAAGAAAGTTAATTATATAGCAACAGAGGCTGAATTAAGGTTTCTTCTTTTAAGACTGCTTAACATACTGCTTCTTTTAAAGGAGCCAAAGACCTGAAATTACATCAAATTAAGCTAGACTGAACATTGGTAGTAGACACCAGCAAGTTCAATTTCCACTGGGATCAATAATATGTATTTAACAGAAATTTCTAAAATTAAATTTAAAGATAAGAGCTATAAAGGACACAGATGGAAAAATCCAGAATTCTATACGCACCTGGGCGAAAGGCTGTCTTCATTTTTGCCAAGGCTTCACTGCAGTCAGCCAAGAGGTACTTTGTTTTCCTGTGGTAGATTCGCACCACTCCTAAAAGTAAGTGTCCAGAGGTGCGCAGAGCAATTGCAAACTTTGATGATTTAAAAAAAAATTGTTCAGGAATTAATATTTTTGACGAAAACATTAAAATCAAAGCATTACACAAAGTAGTAACAGAGTTACAGTAAATTACACCCGAACAGAGCTGGGAACTTCCAGTTATTTCTGTTCCTAAACATTGCCATATTGAAGCTGAAGCTGTAAGCTGATTCTTGCTCTTTATCTAAAATGTCTCACCTCGCTACAGCAGTATAACACATGCTGAAGAGCATAACAGCTGCACATATTCTAGTATTTGCCACCGGTTATTTTAAGTGGGCAGACACTGTACCAACTAGGCATTGAATTATGCAAAGTCTTCCTGCCGCAAGAAAACGCTAGGTGGTCGTTCTGATGCTAGAGGGGAAAACACCCAAAGGAGGCTATTACCTCTTGGAAAACGCTTATAAATAATAATACTAAGATCACTTTAACAAAGCTCACTTACTCATAACCCACAAAAGACAGACAATGGAATTCAGACCACCAACTACTGAGCAGGTATTTTCATGGAAAAAAATCCGCTTGTACCCGCAGAAAGCCTTGGATCTCGTAACCCATTGATTAGCGACAGTGCAAAATGTTCTTCACTGTTCCAGTGGATGCAATTAAAGCCAAGGGGCCAAGGACCGAATGAGTCACGGATACTTAACAGCTGGCTCCATCTGTGCTTATTCGAACCATACCTTATCTGTGATACACAGAGGACTTCAGCCTCCAGGACTGTTAATACATAGCCTTTCATAAGCATTATGTATGCTTATTTATATGTTTATCTACTTGCAGGTGGGGACCTGGGAGAAGTCCACTGCAAGCGGAAGGATAGTTATGATAGGTTAGAGATTGATTATAAGAGCAGCAAAAACATTCTCTTCAAATGTTCTCAGTACAATTTTATGACAATTCACGTAGCCCCTTTACTTTGGTTAACCGGCTGACTTTTCAATCTTTTTGAGACAATTTCCCCAAATATTGGCCATTCCCAAATTATTTTGAACAATACCTGTCGCTAGCACTCAAAATCTCTGAAGAAAGGCCAGCGTTACCACAGGAAACTGATGAGCTCATGTCATTTTACGGACCAACTGAAACCCACTTACTGTGATCTCATGGGCAAGCACCAGTATATAGGAAACTATATTCGAATGCTTTTTGGTAAAGTTTTCCTATAGTGTACATGTGCATCCCACAGATCTCTAAGGGTAAAACAGCAAGTAAAATATTTCTATTACTATAATTTAATAGGACAGCGATTTTTATCTGAGTGAGTGAGAGCTGAATGAAATCACAACAGGAATTTGCCTCAGATGATTTTGAAACAGTCACAAATTTGCCTTAGAAAATGAGTTTTTACAATAGAAGGCGTCTTGTTCCACACAAAGATGTACACTTGTACACCAGGACCTACCAGAAGACATCTTCTTATGTAACAACGTACCTTTGGTGAGATGATCTTCTCAACAGTAGTCTCTAAATTGCACTCAAATATATGGGCTTTGGTGAGTTTCTTCTCCCAGTGGGCGGCAAGCCATATTTTGGCCAGCGGCCCACGCTTGTTCACAAGTAAGTGCATATAGAACATAATGGCTACGCTGAGGCTCGCAGGTCACCTGTGCCACCACGTCCTCACGCTTTTTTCCTCCTCTTCTTTGCTGAGGGGGCAGAAAGTGGGGTGAAGAGGCAGGGGGTGTTTAGTGGGGGCAGAGCGACGCTGAGGGGGCAGGGGTCGGGGGGCGTGGAGGGGGGGAGGGGGCTCGGGACGGCGC